CCCACCCCTACCCCCCCCCCCCCCCCACCCCACACACACACAATTCCCTTATTTTACTATTGTTTTCGTGGTCTTAGTTTCTGTATTTTGTCCAACTTTACAGGCGAGATGGGTAGTAATAAGCTACAAATCGGAGAATCATATCTTGTTGCAACGTGAATTTGTATAATACTGCCTAAAATTAATTTTGTTCACCATTGTGTTTGATACGACAGGAAGACAATTTTCAACAAAATACTTGCTATGAGAACCATCTTCATATTATTTGATTACAATAAAATACCTTATAAGGAAAACATTTTCTATGAAAAAAGGAATAATAATATCCCTCATTTATGAACCAAAGTATTTTTCTTATCACTATCTTAACTTTTCACTTCATGTTACTTCTCCAACTAATACTTTGACATTATTATTTAACTCAAAAATTCCATTAGAATACTCTATGATTTGCCAATGTTATTACTAATCTTTAATATATATTTTTCAGAAAACTTTTTCCACTTACCCATCAAACACCAGAAAATAGAAAATATTTCCTTATTTTCCAGAAAAACAATTTTTATCTGAAATAAACTCCGCATATACTTTGAATTTGCACCTGTTAGAAAAAATTTATACGCTGAAATTAAGACATTAGTGCAAACGACAAAAAATGAAAGAGAGCTAAGTTTCCATGTTAACATATTACCATATTTCTTCCAAGGGTAATTAACCGAAATATACAAATACATCTACGATTTCAAATTTCTCCCTCTCCAAATTGGACAAACATCCACGTTGGCGTAAATGGAATATTTCATATTTGTAAAAGAAGAGTAGAAGACAGTTTGTGCACCTACCATATCACGCGTTCTATCTTTTTGCAGAAAAGGTTGTGCCTTTAAATATCTTATTTAGTGTAGTTTTAATCAGCAAAGATACCTTCTAATTTTAAGCATTGAAACTGCAAATTATTCTCCTACTGCTGCCAGTTATTCCACCTAACTCTAAGCGTATCTACTGATCTTATTCCTATCCCAACAACCTCGCCGTTTTCTGGTCTAGGGGGTATTCAACCAAACTAGTTAATCTCCATAGAAAATGCAGATACAAAACAGAGGTGATCATGTCGCCCATGTCATGTTTAGCTAAAAAGTTGAGTACCCAAAATAGTTAAAGAAAAAAAAAGGCCCGACTTGGTGATCCCAACAGAACGTAGCTGTAGAAGTGTGCGAGAATGGGAATCAAACAAGTTGTCGCCTTCATGTTTAGCTAGAAAATGAGAACAGAGGAAAGCCTAATATTTTGAAAATGGGAGCAAGTGTTCATCCTTTTTCGCCTTCTACCTTATTTTGCAGATTCGTTTGCTTCCGTAGTAGTACTTTTATTTTCTATCGGGCATTGGGATACATAAGGTTTCAGCTGAAAAAGAAAGACGAGAAAAAGAAATTCATCAATTGCCAAAGTGTTACAAACTTCACACAAAATGAGCAAACAAAAAGGTCACAAGTTTCATAAACATTTCCTACGATCTAGAAAGAGAGAGACTAGTTTCTTTTACCTAGACTATAGACTATGTACATAATGCAGTTATGTAAATTCATTAATAATTTCAAGAGCAGCTGAGACGGGGGATCACTATCTTGGAAGAGTGAAAGGTGAACACCCACCAATATTTATGTCAAGAGGATAGGAAAGCAGCAGCAGCAACACAGAATACAAGAAAATACAATCTGACTAATGAAAATTAAGCTCATTTTGGGGCATGCTTGAAAAGTCCATGCCCTAATCCATGGGCTAGGAAAGTGCTAGGTCTAACCTACCTCAAGCACTACCTGTTTCAAGATATTAAAAGGCCTTGAAAAGATTAATATAATGAATAACCCAAAGAATGTTTTCATTTTAGATAACTTTTTGCCAAAAAGAAAGTGAATGAATGTAAAGACAAATCAAAAGCAAGTGGTGATCTAAGCAAGTGCTGGGCCCAAACAGAAAGCATAAGCAACAACGTATTTCCTAGAAGGGACTGAAAGTTAAATAGTATTTCTTTTGATGAATCAGGAGTTCATGAATAATACACCAAGATAGTGTTATCTTCACGAAAAGCGCCTTGTAAAAGCTCAAGAACCTGGCAACTTCCAGCTGACCAACGTATTATCGCTATCTACTCTCTAAGGCTATTACCTCATCTAGGATATGTCATAGAAAAAGAGTAAAGGCAGCAAAGAGTGAAGAAAGAAATCTATTATTTCGATACGCAGATTTTGATAGAACCACAATCTAGTTCCAAATGTTATATAGTTTTTTAATCATCTCATGGACAGGAAAGAAGTTGCCAATGAGTGATTTTGGTTACTCTATGAACAACAGAAATTATAAATAGTTCTTAGACATGACTGATCTAATATATGCTGGCCTGTATTACTTCAAAAAGCCCTCATGTGAGGAAACAAGGTAATTACTTCTCCAAAACAACAAAAATAATAGAGAAAGGAAAACAAGTTGAGTAATGAAGAGAATAACTACACACAGGTCCACTAGGAGCATAACAGAGGATTGTCACGCATAGACATCCTAGGGAAGACTCCGAGTTTAAAAGTTATAAAATAAGCCCAAGGCAAATTGACGGAATTTTTATCTCGTTATCATACACAAACAAGCTGCAATGAATTGGATATCCTCTAAAAGTTCGTTGCCAGAAGAAATGTGTTTATTAACTAGATGTAGCCGTGAGATGAACTTTTAGGACCTATTAAAACTCTTAGGGCTCGTTTGGTATGAGGTATCAGGGATAATTAATCCCGGGATTAAATTTGAGATGAGTTTATCCCATGTTTGGTTGGGACAAAATCGCGGTATAACTAATCCCGGGATTAGTTATCCCAGGATTTAAGTATTATTTTTATCCCTATGGAAAGGTGGGATAACTAATCTCGGGATAATTAATCTTGGGATAAATTGTTTCCCAACCAAACGACCCCTTAGGGACTAATAAGTTAACTCCTACTTTTCATACCAATTTTCAACTGAGACTTGAATGCTATTAGTATCATATTGCATTCCAACATTTTTTTTTTGAGAATAAAAAAAAATTATTAAGAGAGACAGTTACTAATTTATCAAAATTAATTATTATGATAGAATAAGAATGGGATACACACTTTTAGCTAGTTTACTGCAAACACCAATTATTTTTTGCTATTCCAATTGTATTTGGATAATATACAAAGGTTGCTATAGATGAATGTATGCAACAACTTCAAAAAATTAACAGGCATACATATGCTTGCACCAGTATATTTACTAAATTTAAAAATTCTTGATTTTAATAAAAAATGAATCCCTCATGAAGCACAAAAATTTACTGCATATAAGTAACACATACTTAAACAAATCTACATAGATAACCATTAGAAATAGTTGTAAAGATTGCAGCACCTACATTGTCATTATATATATATACACACACACACACACTTTTTGATAAAATAAAAGTTTAAATTATATCTTCTTCTTTTTTTTGCATTGTAATTATATCGTTATCACCCTAATTTAAAGTGTTATTTGCATTATGATAAACAGTATTTTTAAACTATAAGATATTATAAGTAGGTGGTCTGATATTCAATTACAGATTTAATAAGTACTGGAACAAAACATGATATTAATATCACTGAAGGACTTCTTAGGGAAGGGTTAGGGGGAATAGGACTTGTCGGACCCCAGAAATTTTAATAGGACTTGAGGTCCATTGTGAGGGAGACATGAGTTGGAAATAGCCCAATTCCTTTTGGTTCATGCATGGATGAGATTTGACTATACAATTGAGCAAGAACTGAATTGAAAGAAAAAAGGGGAAGAAAAGCTTATTGAAACCATCTCTCTTTCATTTGGTAGAACCTTTGTTTAATTAAAAACCGCTTAAAAACACAGAATGAAATCAGAAAGCAAGATGTCCTTATAAAATACATATGGAAGAACATAAGAACATGGAAGCAACTGCGGTCAAATAACAAATTCTCTCCTTAAGCAAGGGTGGGGATGGGATGAGGAGGAAAATAGTTTGTTTCCTCTCCTTCTGTCTGCTTGATTCCCCTTGCTGAAGAAAGAGTCTTAGAATGGTAGAAAGGATAAAGAGATCTAAAGGAATGCTATCAACTTGCTAAGTTTTAGCTGAGCTGCATAACCTAAAATGGGCTTAGACCAGAGATGGAAACATGGGTAAATGAGTGATGAAAGCACATGCCCCTCTTTTTACTTTTAGCAAATTATTTACAGCAAGCTTACTCTTGATGAATGTAAATGGAACAATGACTGGTTATACTTTTAAGTTTGATTACTCTTCATCAAGCGGAAAGGCTAGTACAGGAGCAACCGAAAGGCACTTTGATCAGAGAAAACATTGATTGGACGATACTTCAATATTCACCAACTCCTCCAAACCGTACTCACCTTTTCAAGCTGCATAACCTAAAACGGGCTAAGACTGGAGGTGGAAACATGGGTAAATGAGTGACGACAGCACATGGTCCTCTTTTTACTTTTAGCAATTTATTTTTGATGAATGTAAATGGAACAATGAACAGTTACAAATTTAATTTTGATTGCTTCCTCAAGCGGAAAGGCTAGAAGGTGAGCAACAGAAGGCACATTGATCAGAGAAAATATTGATTGGTTAATACTTCAATAAAAGTTAAGTACCTTGAAGTCAGTCAAATCTGGAACTACATAGTTAGGCAGCTTCTCTTGCATAACAACATAACCACCTGGTACAAGAAATAACGATATGCTATTAGGAATAAACTGAAATATCTGTGTGCTTCTACGTGACCAAAAATAACTAGTGATTGTCAGCTTCATAAAATGCTGGAATATTTAGCTTTCGAGGTAAAAGAATTTAGTATTTCTACTTTTTTATTATGCACATTATGAATGTTGAAATGGAGACAAAAGTGTGGGCAACAAGAACAAGAAATTTAAAGGCCCTAGCTGAAACTCAATAACTTGTAAGAATGCATCAGCTGCAACCATATAATTTTTCCACATCAACGAGACTGGATTTCCTGGTTATAACAGTAATCTAAGATTACTTCCAACAAGACTATTGTTTCTCAGTATGAATTTAGCAAGAATTACAGAGACAAAATTAATATATTATTCTTCACTGAACCTAAGGTTAAACTATGATACATGTGCCACTGGAATTCGTGATAAATCAAACAAAACTGCAGGTAATGTCTAAAAGTTTTGTAACTAATCAAACAAAACAGCATGTCATGTCTAAATTTCTAACGGCAGTTTCATAGATCTTTTGAGGTGACAAACGAAGTCAGACGATTTTGTTCATGTTTTCCATACTCTCTTTCTCTTCTGGTTTGATGGCTTCAGGCCAAACATCATATGACTCCTCAGATGTACCACTTAACATACTATTCAGAAATTGGAATAGGGGAAAATAGAAATGATACATAAATCATAGTATGGTTAGACATCTGCATAAGCAATCACATAGATAAACCGGATCATAATCTTTCTCACGAGTATGAGGTGTGAAGGGCTGACTACCATTACGAGCTTAACCATAGACAAGAAAAATATTGATTTATATGTCATGACTGCATAAAGATTTCACTTCCGAGTAGAACAATGGTGGCGAATGGCGAGGGCAGTGTGCAGTTTTAGGCTTTAGCTTTTTACAAGCATCTAATGTTACCACATATCTACAGGTAGTTGAGTACCAAATTCAGGAAAAATTGAAACATAGAAATTCTTATAAAGCTACACAAAATCTGTTCCAACTAGGGAGAAAAGACAAACGAATAGTAGTTTGCAACACTTAAATAGAGAATTCAAACCTTTGCGAGTGTGAAAACCAGTAGGCTTGCAATTCTTTCCCTTGTAGTAGCCCCGAGGAACCCTTTTTGAAGTAAGAATATCGAGAGACGAAGTACGTTTTCTTCTGAAAGTTCTCCCTAAACCTAATAGCAGTCCCAGCGGCATTGTCTTCTAATTTAAAATAAATAAATTGTGCCTAGAGTAAACAACATATAAAGAGAAAAGGATATTAGTATTAGCACAAGATCAAGATTTAATCTTTGAAGTCAGAACCAACTTTGTAGCATATTCTCACACTTGTCACTGAACCTTATTACATATCGTTTATACATTTTATATAAATTACAAATATACAAGTTTACAAAAGTCTAATTTGTTCTTTTATTTTATTCAAGTAGAATTGCTTTTGCAATTCAGTACTCTTCAAACAACAATGTTGTCATACCTCCTTTTTACCGAGGGGTAGGGAGTTTTTCCAGTTAAAGTGACATTGTTCGAAATGAGATTACTTATTTAGTTCAGAGTTGCCACTTGGAATAATTTATGGTGTCCCAAGTCACCGGTTCATTTTAAAATCCCAAATCGAGGAAATTGGCTCTATTTTAAAGTCCGCGAAAACCAAAAGATCGGGTAAGGAATTCTGTTAACCCGAGAGAAGGTGTGAGGCACTCTCGGATTCCGTGGTTTTAGCACGGTCGCTCAACTATTAATAATTGGCCTAATTATCTGATTTATTACATGTTAAAGACATATTGTGCATTTTTAACTTTCTAAAAACTAATGCAAAACAAAGCAAGTAAGCAAATTTAATGGAATAAACTATCTGTTATCAAAAAAGATTAAAAGAAAACCATGGAACATCCTCACCTATCTCAAACAGAGCAAGCAAAATGTTTAACAAACATTCAAAGAGCAAAGTAAGCATCCATACATGCATTCTAGATATTCTGAGCTATCAAGGAGACATTTAATGTTCAAAGCATTTAAGAAATGGTAGGGAATCAAATCTCTAACATACTTCAAGAACGATAAGAAAAGATCACTCTATCTAAATTTGAATTGATCGAACCCATCCAAACAAACCTATTCACATTAGGAAAAATATGCCCATTTGTACACAAATCTACTTCAACGACTACACATAGAAAAATCTGGAATGATCTTAAAGTGAGAAGGAACCTTTTCAATTGCAAATATTCTGGAATCTTTCAAACACATGAGAAATTAGACATAAAACAACGGGTAATTCGATTTTTCATTTCATAAAAACTGAGACAGCATCTAATTTGGTATAGAACATACCTAATTAGCAGAAAAACAACGAGCATGGACCAAACAAAGGCCAGAAATGGAAGTATGAAGTTCAAACTCCCAGCAGAGAACAACAGCAACAAAATTTCTTCAGCAAAACCAGAGAAATCGACACCAAATTTCAGCGAAAATCGAACCAATCCTTCCTGAGCTCTTTTGTGTTTCAGTTTAAACCCTTTTGAATTCTATCAAACCTGGGATTTAATTTTTTGCACTACAGAAAGGTGCTTGAGTGAAGAAAGAGTGAGTGAGATGAGAGAGCGTGAATGTGAGGAGTGTAGGCAGATCGGAGGGGCGAAGGAGGAGAGGGTGGCGGCTGACTAGGGTTTTAGGGTTAAGGGGAAGATCTGTTATGAGAGAGATGATGAATAAAGGGCTGCTAGGGTTTTTAATGGAAAAAGAAAAAAAATCTGATTTTTATTTATGCTCTGTATCATTGTTAACCATCGTTTTATAATGTATTGTATTGTATTATACTGTACCGTATTGTGTCGTTTTGATGGATACAGCATTTGGATAGATTATATCATTTGCTCTTGTTAAACAATATTTTTATTGTTTGGTTTGACTGTATTGTATTGTACTGTACTGCTATATTTACTAAAATACCCTCAATTATTTTAAATACAATGCTTCTTAAGAACTGCTCATAAAAATAATTTATTTATTTGACCTTCCGATCTTCCTCACATGGAATCATCATTCTACCATAGTAACGAAAGCACCAAACATACAAAAAAAAAAATTATAGCCCCACCAAAATAGAGAACAACGGACCTTCTCTTCTTGTAGTTTGAAATGGTAGAAGGCTAAGTAAATTATATATGTAATTATAATTAGCAAAAAGTTTGCAAAGATTATAGATGAGATAAAAATACAGAAAAAGAGAGGGAAAACTAACCAAAAAAATAAACGTAAGAAGGACGGAGACAAAGTACGTAGTTGGGTGAAGTATAACATAAATAATAGGGTAAAGGGTAAAATTGAAATATAGAATAATTAGTGTGGGCGTAATTGGAAAGAGAAATACGAAACAATCCTACCACACCGATTTGGTTGTTTCATTAAGAGTCTGTTTGGAAAGCCACCTAGGAATTGGATTTGGGTGTAATTAGGTGTAATTACATAGTTTGACATGTTTGTTTGGCCAAGTAATTACTTGGTCAGCATGTAATTGAGTGTAATTGGAGGGATGTAATTACACTCTCCAATTCTCAGGGGAGGTGAGAATTGGTGGTAGTTACACGTGTAATTACAAGGTTGCTTTTTAGTTTCTTTCCTTTTTATTTTATTTTAATTTATTTTCTTTATAACTTTTATTTCTATTATTTTAATTTTTAAATTTTATTTTTACTTTTTAATTTTTTTGAAATTTTAAAATATATTTTTCTTTATACATTATTTATCGTTATTTCTCTACCTTTACTTCTTGTGATTTCATGTAATTTCTTATATTTTATTTTTTATTTATTTTATTATTTTATTTTTTAAAACTACACCTCCTAATATTAGAAATAATGAGTCATTATCAAACTTAGCATATAATGAGTAATGCAATTAAAGTAAAATTTCGTTGTTATATGTGGTTATAAACTTATTATGTTTTCTAATCTTAAGTCGTAGTGGAACTTACTATTATTCTATTGGAATTTGACATATGTTAAACTATTTTTTTGTGCGTTTTAAAATTGTGCTATATTCATGGTTCCAATTTACTTGTTTTAGTAGTATTGGCTCACATTGCATGTTGTTCATTTTTTTAGTTAGAATTGATATTTTCGTTTTGACAAATATTTCAATAATGTTATGACATTATATTTATATATATTAATTTATTTTATCAAACATGAATTCCATGATGTTCTTACAAAACATATGTTTTTAGTTTTGTAAGTACTAAACAAAATATTATTAATTTAGAAAATATATATAAATTAATTTTACAATTATTAATTATAAATATGTGATTACTAATTAATGTATATTCACGAAAAAAAATATACATCTTAAATACCAAATATAATATCATTTATACTTATAAAAATTATTTTGATAATTACTTCATTTAAAATTTAATCTAATTGTGTAATTATACTTGTGCAACCAAACAGTAAAGTTGTAATTACACTGTAATTACATTATGACAAACAAACAGGTCGTCGTAATTAGACAACTGTGTAATTACTAGGTTGTGTAATTACAACCCTAGTAATTACACCAACTCCAATTACCTGGTGGCTTTCCGAACATACCCTAAATGAGGCTTTTCATTGTTCCGGAACAATGAATTTAACAATACAATACAATCAGTTTTATATGAACAATCAAAACAAACATTGTATCTGGGGTAACAATACAATACAATACGATGGGTAACAACCATCCAAACAATACGTTAGAGGAAGTAGGGCTGTGCATAATTTGGTAAATACGGAATGGGAAAATTTTACATAAGAACAATCGAGCTCGCTGCTTTTCAATTTTATAGCCCATATATCAATTTACAACTAACTAGCCCAAAAATAATAGGCTAAGATTCAACATCCAACTTCAATAGGTTCTAAAAATTACTATTTAATTTTTAGAAAAGAATGCTCAAGCTTTTAAATTAATTTTCGAATCAGTAACTGTGACTCAAATATTAGTTCAACAAACCAAATCCATTTGGATGTTAAAAAATAAATTTTCAACAAGCTTAAACATGTGGGATTAAATTTCGAATCTGGTTTTGTGAGAAATTTAGAGTGGGTGTTATTTAGACTTATTATAAATAGTATAAGGAGGTTGTATATAAAATTTGAAGTCGTTTAATGGAGATTTGGACTGGTTTTGAACAAGAATTGCAACTGGAAATCGTGAAAGAAGTTTGTCTACAGATGCTTGTATAAAGATGCATAAAAGTGTATAATAGTGTATTAGATGTGTTTATACACTCATATACACTATTATACAAGATTATACAAAAACTAACTTCGTCTTCTTCCTTGCGTCTTTTCTTAAATTTAACTCAAATCTTGCTCAAATCTACGCCAAATCACTTCAAATTTAAATTACGAACTCCTTTTGATATTTTCAATTAATCGGAACAACACCCAATCCAAACAACTAACAAACTCAAAAAATCCTATTTTCGAAAGTAAAGCTTTAAATGGCCTTCAATGGTGGACTTCTACTTTTCAATTTTATTACATTGCAACTAGGTGACACAGGGTAAGAAGCAGCAATAATGGACGGCCATTTGAAGCATATGTAGAAGATGTGAGAAGAAGAGAGAGTGAAAGCAATGGTTGTGAGAACACATATTTAACTGCATAGCTTTTAGAAGCAATGGTTGTAAGAACACAAGTTTTGAATTTGCTAGTGCTTTCAAAATATGTACAATATGGGCTAGGTTGGGAAAAACTTAAAAACACGGGCCATTTTTTGTTATGGTGTGAAGTCATGTGTATTATCTTGTAATTCTTTCATACCGAATTACCGTACCGAAACCGAAAATTTTGATATTTAGTATTCGATATTTGGGTATTCGGTATGGTTTTTGGTTTAATTTTTTTAAAAAATTGGTATTAGGTATGGTATTTGGTATTTTAAAATGAAATACCAAAATACCAATATCGTACCGAAATATATATTATATTACACAATACACATATTATTAATTCTAACATAAATATAAAAATCTAAAATTTTATTTTTCTTTATTCTCTAAGTTCATCAATCAACTCTAAGTAAGTAACAAGACGTTTCTAATGATCAAGTTCATTCTTTCATGTACATTTTTCTCTCTCTAAATTGATCTTTGCTAGTTTTGGACAAAACTTTTGTGAACAAATATTTTTAGTTTTGTACTTTTGAGTACTTTAATTCAGAATATTAAATTCTATGACTCTATGCACTAGTTAGTATTCAAACCGAAGTCACCAAACCGAATAAACCAAACCGAACCGAAAGGAGAAAAAAATCGAACCATACCGAATTTAATTAGGTACGGTATTGGAATTGCATTTTAAGAAAACGAATACCGAAAATACCGAACCGAAATGTCTAAATACCGTACCGTACCGACCGACGGACATCCCTAAGAGGAAGGGGGCTTGGTTTTAATGAGGGGAAGCGGGATTGGGCCAGGTGGGTCATTGGAATTGGGTTGGGGCGATTTTGAGGAATTTGGGCTACTGGTCAACTGGCCCAATTTGAAGACAAGGCAAATAGCCTTTTCTTTCCTTTCTTTCCATTTTCAAGAATAACCAAGTTATTTAACACTCTTAATTTTAACTAATTTACAAAATTAACCTAATGACCTATTTTTCTAACAATTAACTAATTTATTTAGCTAAAAAATGCATGTAAAGTTACTAATATATTTTTGGTATTTTTAGTGTTTTAAAAATACTTATGTAATTAAAATCTAAAAATATACAGATTCAAAATATTTTTATATTTTCTTTGGGATTTAAAATGCAACTTAAAAATGCATCAAACATGAGCACGTATAAAGCAAACTAAGTAAAAAATATAGAAAAATTCTTAAGATTCTATAAAATAATTTAAAGCTATTTTTTGGAATTCTTTAGGAATAATTTTATATTAGGCAAAAATTACATACTCATAACTGTAATATTGCCAACTAGGTAAATTGGCACAACCAGGCATCTCAAATATCCATAAGGGAAAATATTGCTATAATTTGCTCAATTAAAGGAAAAGGCTCTAAGTGTATCCTACAGAGGCCGCAACTCTTCAAAGTTTTCCAAGGTAAATTCCATACATTAAAAGAAAAATAATTAAACCTAAAAAGCCGGTGTAGAATTTCAAGCAAACGAAAATGAATCATGAAAAAAAGAACAGATATTTTTATGCTCCTTTACTGTTACACTCTGCTTCAACATCATTAAATATATCAATAATGAATTTATTTTAAGCTCCACAGCATATAAATCAGAAATTAAGAGAGGAATTTACAGTATCTGCTCAAAAGGATGTTTGCCCAGTGGGAAGAAACTAGCGAGACTGCAACTCCAAGGGGTTGGAGAAGGCGTTATCGGGCCTTAAAAGTATGGGCTATTAAGAGAAAAATGAGGAATTTATGGAGTCTACCTATTAAACTAAAACTAATTACCCGGTTATACCCACTTGGATAATAATTACTATACATACTTACTCCATATAAAATTATTATCCGTCCTCCATCCATTAAGAAAGTCTTTAAAGGCTTCAGGGGCAACAAATCTATACCTAACCTATACGGGACCTTTCTTCCTTCAATTCAAAGTAAGAAATATTTTATTTCTATCTTCATCGATTTCTTCTCTTTGTTCTTGCTTCTATTTTCATAAGTAAAATTGTTTATCTGATAGGCTATATTTTTATAATATTCACAAAGTAAAA